TTAACGATAATTTCTTTCCCTCACTCCCACCACATGAATCAATGAAAATCTGGATATTTGATCCTGGAAAGATTTTCAAAGTGAAGAGTCAAGAAATTAAGCATTCCTATGGAAGTCCTAGGAGTGAAAGTGTGAAGAAGATAAACTATCATGATCCAAGTTTGAATGACTGAACACAATGACAGCGTCGTGCCACGACGTTAAATAAAGCGCTTCTTGGGAGGCAACCCATGCAAGGTACATTTACTTATTGCATTTTATTTTTGCACTTTAAAAAAAAATCACCTCATTCGTCTTTTCCAAATTCGAACCCAATTCAATTACCCCAAACCTCCTAACCATATCCCTCTTTCTTCAAAATCTATCCAAATCCTCCACCAAACCCCACAAAAAAAAATCATAATCTTGTTCTCATCACTGTCCTCTTGCTCCACATACCCTCTAATCCACAAACTCTTGGAAGCAACCACCCCTCTCCCAATCCACAACTTTATATCTTCAAAAAAAAAAGTGATGGCGATAACGAGCACTAGGGACAGTGCTCCGAGCTAAGTGAGGGGGAGTCACTCATTGGTACACAATTATTTTTTCTACCTTGTAACTTGCATTATTTTCGTCAAAAAAAAAATAATAATAAATAAAAAAATAGAAGAAATGCTAGTTAGGTTGAAAACCCAAACGGGCAACCTAAGCAACATTAGCAAAAAAAAAAAAAGAGTGAGTAAAAAAAATGAGAGGCTAGGATGAAAACCTGAAAAGGCTCCCAGGCAAAAGGAGAGAAATGAGAGAAGAAATTAGTTTTGCAGGAGTTCATTTTTACCATAGCAAGCAGCTGGAGGGAGAAGCAATAACTTTCTATAGTGCGGATGAATTTAAACTGAAAAAGAAAACACTTCTGTTTTTCTTTTTATCTCGTTGACACTCTTTGGATGGTGAAGAACTTTATGGATTTTACTCGAGGACAAGTAAAAGACTAAGTGTGGGGGAGTTGATTGCATTGATTTTTGAGTGTTTATATTTTTACTTTTAATTACTTTTTATGGTGTGTTGTTGTGGTAATTGCTCATTTAAGGTGCAATCATTTTATTTTTCTAGTTTGTTGTAATTTAGTAAATTTAGAATCATCTTGAGCAAGAAACAATCAAGAATCAACAAAGGATCATGGAAGGGATCTTACAAGATCAAAGGAAAGTGCAAGGGAACAAAAAATCATGCAAGAAATTTGATTTGGTGACTTACCCGGTCGGGTATAGCCTTTACCCGGTCGGGTATGAAGTGACCCGGACAAAAAGACGTGCAGAAAACACAAAATCGTGGGCAAAATATTTGATTTTGACAAATACCCGGTCGGGTATCTCAAATACCCGGTCGGGTATCCGGTGCAGCACCTTCAAAACACCTATAAATAGCCCCATTTTCCTTCACTTTTAAGCACTCCTTCTTCCATACTCTTAAGCTCAACTTAGAATAGTATTTCTTTTATATTTTTTTAGCATGTTTAGTCTCCAAATGAGGAGCTAAACTTCCATTTCTTGGTGTTGCTCTTGAAGCTTGTTGATTATTAAAGTTGTGAGTTATTTTCTTAACTTCTTCCCTTGAATATTAATTATTCTTTTAATCTATCTATATATTAATGTTGGGGAGTGTTGCTAAGATGACAATTAGTTAACATCTCGACATTAGTTATAGTAGTATTTATTCTCTTCCTCTATATATTAATGTTGGGGAGTGTTGCTAAGATGACAATTAGATAACATCTTGACATTAGTTATAGTAGGATTATTCATATTTAATATTCTTCCTTGAATATTAATTCTTCCCTTAATCTATCTCTATATTAATGTTGGAGAGTGTTGCTAAGATGACAATTAGTTAACATCTCGACATTAATTACTACTAGAAACGATCAACGAACCGATGGTTAATCGTTTATGGTTTCACAAGTAAGTAACTTTGGTTTATTAATGCACGGTCGTGGTTAATAAACTTAAGAGGGATTAATTTTGTTGGTTAAACCGAAACCGTTGTGTTGAGGTTATCAATCTCAATTGATTTCATCAAGGAGTTAAGAGATTAAATGCTACTCTTAAGTCGGTATATGGCGGTGTTCTATACTTGACTAATAGTAAGGATTATTAATGAACGGTCGTTGTTAATAACCACTCTCGATGAATTGGATATACTCCTCGATTGAGTATTTGAGAGGGGATAAGTTATAGATATAACAATGATCGACTAAAATATATCAACAAGTGGAAAGTAGCAATGCCAAGTCCTTTTTATCTTTGAATTAAATCACATTTAAGTTGTTCATCTTTCTGTTTAATTAAATTAAATCATTCAATCCTAAACCCCCCTTTTATTTACTAGTTCTATAAAAAGAGAATTATTCCTTTCCCTGTGGATACGAACTCTACTACGCTATACTACGTATAAGTGTTAGTATTGAATTTATTTTGACGCACCGTGACAAAGTGCTCGTCAGAACGTTAAGTAATCGTCACTTAGCAACCCTCCAACATTAATATAGAATGCGATTAAGGGAAGAATTAATAATTGAGAGAAGAAGTTAAGAAAATAACTCACAACTTTAATATTCAACAACCTTCAGGAGCAAAACCAAGAAATGGAAGTTTAGCTCCGCATTTGGAGATTAAACATGCTATAAAATATAAGAAATAACTATTCTAAACTGAGCTTAAGTATATGGAAGAAGTGATGGAAATTAGTGAAGGAAAAGTGTGCTATTTATAGGTGTTTTTCAACACCTTTGGCCGGGTACCCGGTCGGGTAAACTATCCACCCGACCGGGTCCAGTCAAAATCTAATATTTTCCATGCTCTGGTGTTCTTCAGCACGTCTGGATGTCCTCGGTCAAGTCTCACCTGACCGGGTGAGGTAGTGGCCTGGGTCCGACCGGGTGATGTCAATTAACTTCTTGGAACCTGCATCTGTTAAGTCTTACCCGACCAAGTGAAGACCGTCTACCCGGCCGGGTAGGTTCCCTGGGCAAATTTTGTCCATGTTTTTCTCCTTTTCCAAAATCCACAACTCTACCACTACTTTACAAATTACAAATAAAAGCTAAAAACAATTACAAATTAAAAGTAAACAAATGTTTACAACTACATACAAATGGTAATCAATCCACACAAAATAAACATAAAAACATACATTTATGCACTACTAACTAGTGCATATCAATGCGCATTCTTTGATTTTCAGTTAATTTAGGCCTGCCATGTTGTGATGTTTCTCCTTCTCCCTGACTGTGTGTCTGAAATGTGGTTGTAGGTGAAAGGGGGCCAAGTTGATTGTCCAGTGGCTGTTCTGAATCAGAGGGGGCTTCAACTTCTTCCATTGATGGCATTTTTTATATCTTGTTCTCTTTGTACTGGACTTTTGTAGGAGAATGATTTATGTAATTTTTGGAGGGATTTGTGAGGTTTACACTTTTTTATGACCATGTAAACACAATTTGGAGGGAAATCGTATGTGGCTAATAAAGAAACAAATTGCCATGTTCTATAGCAGACACGATGGTTCTACAGTACATGGTTTCATTCCATTTGCCCCTGACCGGCCTTCTTTACTCGTTTTTACCGTAGGAATGTTTAGTAATTACCCCAGTGCTTTAGTAAGGGTATTTAAGGAAAGTCAAGGACAAAAAACAACTTCCCTTAATATTACAAAAGTCAAAGTATGAGTTTCTTTTAGAAACGGATGCAGTACAAGATTTTTTCTTCTTCCCATATTGATTATATGATTTTTGTGATTTTCTCTACACATTTTTCACACTGTGACTTTCTTAATTTTTTCACTCAATAACTTTCATAAAACTCACGTTTAAGTGTAAAGTCCAAATATTGCGAAACATTACTCTAGCATGCTTTAATGTATGTAATTAAGGGTGGGTTCGGTTCTTGCAGTTCGGTTTTGACCTAAAACCAAATATAGAATCAAAGTAAAAAGTTCGGTTCGGTTTCGGTTCGGTTTTACACTCCAAAACTTGGAACCACGGTTTGATTGGTTTGGTTTGTTTCGATTCGGTTTCGGTTTTTCCGGGTTTTTACCAAAAAAATATCATTTGATTTAAAATTGATACTCGTATAATACTTTGAGGGATTAAACATATTACACAAAGAATGCAATCACACTACAACAAATAAAATAAAAATGAAAATAAATAAATATGTCTTGAATTATATGAATGTGCGAGAGAGATAAAAGGAGAAAACTGTCATATTGACTCTCGAAGTATACTATAAAAATCAATTAAGCCCTAACGAACAGTCGATTAAGCCTAGGGGAGAGCAAACCCGACCCTACCCGATTGACCCGACCGGATATATCCGATTATTTTTTTTGGGTCGGATAACCCGACCCGAATCACCCAAACCCGACCCGATTTTTGCAACCCGAGAATTAAGCGGGTAGCGGGTAGGGTTACCAATTATGCTACCCGACCCGCCCGAAAACCCGAACTAGCGTAGTATATATACTACTTTGAATTATTATGCATGTTCAAATGTCTCATTTATTGTATGTCAATTACCATATTATGCATATTCAAGTATTTCAATTACCGTATTTGTAAAACTATAACTTTGAATGTTGTATTGTTATGATTTTAAATGATATTTTGACCAATTGTCATTTTATTTATCACAATATCAAATATGTATACCACCGTAAATTATTATTTTACATGTTCAAATATGTCGATTATCATATTTATACAACTATTAATTTGAATATTGTACTAGTATAACTTTGAATGATATTTTTACCAATTACCAATTTATTTATCACAATTTTAACAATAATAAATTAAAATCCGAATGGACCCGAAAACCGAATCAACCCGACCGAAACCCGAACATAACCCGACCCGAAAAACCCGATATATTTTTTGATAGGGTAGGGTGTGAAATTATCAATCCGATACCCGAACGGGTTTACCATTTTCGAACCCGACCCGCCCGAACCCGACCCGTGCTCTGCCCTAATTAAGCCCATGAAGTATAAAAAACGTTCAATTCTCTCCTATAATAGGTTGCCACCCAGTTCTCCGATCACTGCACCTACGTGGATAATCCATTTTGTTTTCTTTTTTCTTTCTCACTTCCTCTTCCTTATTACGTAGTATTCCCCAACCATCTCTTTCTTGTCGCAGGCATGACCCCACCATCACAATATCCTTTTTTGTTCTTCTGCCTCATCGGCGATTCTCTTCCCCACCTCCCCCCATCTGCTTCATTCACCTCCATTGTTTCCTTTATTTTTCCTTGAGAAACGCCGGAGCTCTTCAACATCCTCTTTAAAGACGGCAGCATAGCTTCCTCATCATCGATGCTGACTCTGGTTTCTCAACGGTGATGGCGGCAAAGCTTCCTTTCCGGCGACGAAGGCTTCTTCTTCAACATACATCGACGGATACGACGACTTTATCTTCAACTTTACTCTCCAGAGATAACGTCTTCATTTCTAACATATATATATAGCTCGCCGGAGACGCCGGTCTTCTCTTCAATTTAGCTCGCCGGCGACATTAATTAACTTGTGCGATCACCAGAGACGACTGGGAGTTCGTGAAGGAGACCCGGGCGACTGTGATGTGATTTTGTTGTTGTTGTGTGTATTTAATTAATTGGTAACCGGTAAGAAAGAAAGAAGAAAAACTGGGGTGGAACAAGAAAGAAGGGGGGAGACGAAGAAGATGGGTTGCAGGAGAAAGAACAAAGAAGAAGAGAAAGTTGACTAAGGTGGGGTCACGGTAGAAGGAATTGGCGTTGGAAGAAGAATAAAGAAGAGAAGCAAAAAAAAAAAAAAGAAAGAAGAAAATGAAAAAGCAAAATGACATGTAGAATTGGTAACCGGCAAACCGGAAGCCAACCCATTAAATTTGATAATTGAACGTTTTTTTATACTTCATATGAGTTTAATTGGGTGTTCTTTTACTTCGAGGGCTTAATTGACTTTTACGATATACCTCGAGGGTGAATTTGAGAGTTTTCCCGAGATAAAAGTATATATTATTATTATTATTTTACATTGTTTGTGACTGGTTCAAAAAAAGTTCATGAGTATATGCGTTCTATGTGATATAGTTGAGATGAATATTTATTATTTTATCAATATGAATTCTTTAAGTTAAATAAAAATAAAAGTTAATTGAAAATAATAAGTAGTAAAAACATATTATCATCATTTAGGTATAGCTACATTATCACAGGCAATGAATGTGTGAATGAATTTATAAACTAAACTAAACTAAACATAACACAAACATTATTTCTCTAGCACAAGAAAATCAAAGACTATTAATGATATTAGGATTAGTTGGGAATCGGGATTAATGCTTAACAATTAACAAATAAATCTTATATTTTAATTAGTTCGGTTTGTTCGGTTCGGTTCGGTTTTGAAGGGTAAAAACCAAAACCGAATCAAACAACTATGGTTCGGTTCAGTTTTTTACATTCGGTTTCGGTTTGTTAGCGGTTCGGTTTTATTTGGCTACGGTTCGGTATAATTTGATTCGGTTTTCGGTTTTCGATTTTCGGACCCAGCCCTATATGTAATTGTTTAATAACTTTATTTATAGAGTTGTATTGGATGATTAGATTAATTTTGATTGGTTGCTCTAATTTATATCAAGTATTAAATTTAAATTATGAGATTTCTACAATAGTAACTACAAGAATACTTAAATCATAGTATAAGAAGTACCTTTTCTAGAAACAATTTCAAACCTATAATCAAAATAAAAGTTGTGGACAAAAATGCGACTCTGGTAACTTTAGTGTTTATAATTTTATTCAAATGTTATATCGTAGTGACTATAAAACTTACTCTGTTATTCATGGTACTTATAGTCACATTTATGTCCATATATTTTTTATTAGTAATATTTTAGGAAAAAAATTCCCCATTTTCATTATGTTACTTGTATACATTACTGTGCTTAAATTTAAATATTGAATGTTGGTGGGATATGATTTTTTTGGATGTTAAATGTTTCTGTGATTCATATTTAGATTTTACTATCGAGACATGGCTTGATCTTTTGGTGTTGATGTAGTAAGAGATTCTTAATTTTGAATCTAGACATATATAATTTCTGAATATTAGGTTCAAACGATTGTGATGCTATTTAAACGATTATGTTGATTCAAACGATTTTGATGTTCAAACGATTTTGAATCTTTTGTGATGTTTTAAAAAACATTATATGTGGTGCTATTAAATTTAGATTTTTTTTATTTAGGTGATCAATGATAAGTAGTTAATCATCATTTTAGGATTTATACTAATTTTGAAGAAAATATTATTATTATGATTATTATTATTATTATTATTATTATTATTATTATTATTATTTTAAATAAAACTGTTACCCGCGGGTAAAAAACACCCAACGGGTAACGGGGCGGTTTCGGGGAAAAATATTATCAAATGGGGCGGGTATGGGTAATGGTATACTCGACCCCGAACCGCCTCGTGCGTTGCCATTCCTATTTATGGCGGTAATATTATAAATTTCATTTTTCCAAATTTTCTATATTATAGTTATATGGAGTATTGGAATAATTGTTATGTATACTTATTATTATAGGCAAATAAGCCAACATATAATTTAATGATATTCTTACTTGGATTAATTCCCATGTAAAAGCATATTTAATTATTTAGTACAGAGTACTCCGTATAACATTTCAAATTTGGCGGAATACTTTCAGATTGGTTTTGCTTGAGCGACCAAGACTGAACTGGTATTCAAGAACATCGATCCGGCCTGGCCCACCTAACCTATTTACTTGAAAATTTACGCCATTTCTCAAAATTAAAGCGAAATCACTTTTTGAAAAAAAAAGAAGCGAAATCACTTTTTGACTTCTCTCCCATTTGGCTAGTTCAGTGTATACGGAGGCAATTCACAATATATTGTGTATATATATATCACTCGCATGTCCTAGATTTAGTGCAACAAATATTTGGAGTATAGTTTTTTCACGTTCAATCAATTGCAAAAGAAAAAAGAACAAATGGAACTATCTTGTAAGAATTTGTTCTTGGTTTTCCTAATGGCTGTGGTACTTTCAGGTACGAAAAATTTACTCCGTATTTGTTATCTGTGTGTTGTATGCATGTTAAATTAAAGGAGTACACTGTTGTGGCCGGTAAAGAATGGAATAAAGTTTGTTTTGTGAATATTGGATTTTTAACATGTGAATAAATCTGAATCTTATATAAATAATTTGGGTACCATTATGTTTATCTTACTAGTATGTTTTTTGTCCATTTCACCAAGTTTACTTTATTCAATATGTAATAATATTTGGATAACGAGTCAAATTAATTCACAGTTTTATACTTTAGAAATATCACAGTAAGTTTTAAATTTGATAGTAATAATTATGATAAATATTTTTATATTTTTATGTAGAACTAAAACATAGACAAAGTGCACATATAAGACCATCATTATTTTATTCCAAAAATAGGACTTATTCACCTTAACAGGGGAAATTTTATACTTTTAATAGAATTAAATAAGTCCTATATAAGACCATCATTATTTTATTCCTAAAATAGAACTTATTCACCCTAACAGGGGAAATTTTATACTATTCATCATCATCATTTTCATTTACCCCATCGGCGCAAAGGCTCCCACCTACGGTGGGGTAGTGGAGGATTGGATGTACGCAGTCTTACCTCTGTACTAAAGCACAGATAGACTGTTTTCGGATGACCCATAGAGAAAATCGCGTCCAAAATTGCATGGGTTGACTGTTGCTTCATAACAAAGAAGCGCAGACAGTTTAGTGAGCCATTTTGCTTTATTTCATCATATTCTCAAGTCAAAAAATAATGAATCTTTGGCTCCATTGCAAATGATGGAAGTGGGAAATTTTATACTTTTAATAGAATTAATTAAATAAGTCCTATTTTGGAAATAAAACATACTACCCTCCATTCCATAATTCTTGCAACAGTTTGACTTTCACGTTTGCCATTGCACAACTTTGACTGTAATTATATTTAATTATGTATTAGTAAACATTATAAAAAGTTGATATTTTGGAAATTCACATTGATAAGAGTTCAATAACATTTTATACGTAATAATTTGATTATGTATATTAGTAGAAAATCATGGTCAAAGTAAGATCTGTGAATAGTGTAAAAATCACAATGTTGCAAGAATTATGGAACGTAGGAAGTATATAGTTCTATTTGTGCATTGGGTGTAACTTTTATCTTCTCCTTTTGGAATGAAATGACTAATACCCAGCAAAAAATCTGTATGGATTGCGAAATAATTACTCTGGAACTGCCCATTTGCTATTAAACTCTTGTGGCCGCAAAGATTTGACTACATCTCTTTGTTATGAGTTCCTATGTCATCTTATTCCAATCAGATTAGATCAAATTAAATCACAATAAATCCTACGGAGTATATGCATGATTAGATATATCATACGAAGTATAAAAAAACTCAGATCACAGCAGATAGATTTATATCATAAGATAGAGATCAGATGAAAAAAATTATGTGATCATTTATTATTATTATCAATATTAACATTATTCTCAATATTATCATTATTATCGATATTATTATGCTTATTAGTACTATTAATTGTTGTTGTTGTTGTTTTTATACATCACAAATATAAAAGCATAAGTTCTTGTTATTAATATTTAAACCATATCATATCACAAAAATATATTTAAATGTATATTCGTATAAATTCAAACAGATGATTTATTACTACAATATTGAAATTGTATTCATATATATTCTTATAGGGTGTTTGGAAACGATCCTTGCTCTGTTTACAAGCAAAGAGATGTCTCACGTCTCTTTTTAATCATCTGTTATGGGACACAATATGCATATAGCGTGTGTGCAATTTCAAACAACTCAAATATACTAGGAAAAATTGACAAGAATAATCCCACATTTCACTGGTCTTCTCATAATAATCCCACCTTTAAATAATCTCAAAATAATCCCACTTTTGCACCTCATCTTCTTTCATTGGACCCTGACCAAGTTTTTTACCTTTTTTAAAAATCTTATATAAATAATCTCACATTTATAAGGATATAATTAAAAAGTGAAAGGTGAGATTATTTGTATAATTTTCAAAGAAAGAGTAAAAAACATGGTCAGGGTCCAATGAAAGAAGATGAGGTGCAAAGATGAGATTATTTTGGGATTATTTAAAGGTGGGATTATTATGAGAAGACCAGTGAAAGGTGGGATTATTCTTGTCAATTTTTCCAATATACTAATCATCAACATTCCATATGTTAACCTTATTAAAATAACATTGTGGGCACTTTCCTCTGCGCATCGCACATCGTATCACTAGTTCATTGTATAAAAATACGTAGTTTGTCGTTCATTTATTAGGTTTGTAATTATTTTGGACACAAAAATGATATAAAAAGTATTACTCCCTCCGTCCCCTAAATGTTAGTCACACAATACATTTCAAAAAGGGAAATGAAAAGAATTTTTTAGACATCTCAAAAAGGTAAATGGGAAGGAATTTTTTAGTCCTAACTCCTAACTATTAATCCATATTAGATCATCAAGAAAACATCGGGTCAGAACCATATTAAATCAATAAATCGGACAAGACTAGTTAACAGACCATGCCCGACCAAACTCATTGACCATATATGAATCAGATCAGGGCCGTCTAATAAATTTGGAGGCCCCGGTTCAAAATGTAAAAGCGGGGCCCCAAATTAATATAAAAAATTATTAAAAAATATCATTCGAAATATTTATACTCAAATCAATGAAATACTCATTAAAATAGAACTAAAAGAGTAAAATGACTAACGAAAAAATGATGTATCTATATTAATATTAAATTATTAATATAATTACTAATAATTTTTTAAAATGTGGGGCCTCTTAAATCTGGGGCCCCTGTTCTGGATAACCTATTAAACCCCCTAAAAAACGGCCCTGAATCAGATGAGGGAGACCTGGCTGGACCATATATGGACCATATATATGAGGAATGATCATGTAC